ACCCAGCTCACCTCAGCTCTTGAGTTATTATCATAATTTCTCATGCCTCCATGTTTTACAAAATGTTTTGTGTTTTATTGCCTGAGAATCAGAGGCAGGAGCGGCAGCGAGCGCCGGCGTGATAAGAAAAGCAGTCATGTGAAAAATGAAAGGGGCCACATGTCCGGCAGAGAGAGAAGTGAGGGTCAAATAATAAAATACATGACAAATGCACCGGCGGTATTTCATGTTCAATGTGAAATGCACACACAAACACACGCACACACCAAATTCACATACAGCAAAAACTCATGAATACAATCAAGGTTAAAAAGACAAATGACAAAACCGATTGAAGCTGATTGGTGTTTTTTGGAGCTTGACAGATGTGGTCACTATGAGCCTAAAGATTCATCAAAGTTGTGCTCAGTAATGTTTGGTTTACGTTACGCTGGTCAATACCACAGTTGTCTTGGACTGTCTTTTTATCTCATAATTATGACTTTTTATTTCATAATTTCAACTTCATCTCCTCGCGACCCTTTGGAGAATGGATGGATATAACTTTTTCATAAGTATGACTTAGTATGTCATAATTGCGACTTTTTGTCAGAAAATCATTTAATTTTGACTTTAGTCTTTATTATGACTGTCATAATTTCAACTTTTTATCTCATAATTGTGACATACTATGACGTTATGTAATAATTATGTATTTTATCTTATAATTATGACTATTTCATAATTCAACTTTTTGTCAGAATTATGATCGCATTATTTTGACCATAGTCAAAATATTGGTTTGGAGAATGGATGATGGAACTTTCTCATAATTATGACTTAGTATATCATAATTGCAAATTTTAGTTATAAATATGATCTCATTATTATGACGTAATTTTTGACTCATAATTTCAACTTTTTATTTAATAACTGACTATATCATAATTTCAGTGTTGTCATAATCTCATGATTATAACTTGTTATAATTTTGAATTTGTCATAATTACGACTTATCTAATAATTTTTGACTGTTATATTTCAACTTTGTATCTCATAATTGTGGCTATGTAATAATTTCAGTGTTGTCATAATAATTATGACTTTATCTCTTGATTATGACATGTTATAATTTAAAATTTGTCATAATTATGACATTCATAATTTTTGACTGTTATATATTTCAACTTTTTATCTCATAACTGTGGCTATGTAATAATTTTAACATTGTCATAATTATTACTCTTATCACATAATTTTGAGTTTCGTTATAATTTTTTGTTTATAATTTGTTGTTATAACTGACTTTTTATATCAATTATTTTTATCTAATAATGTATGGCTGTTATAATTTCAACTTTTATCTCATAATTGTGGTGTGTTATAACTTCAATGTTATCATACTGAAGACTTTTTTATTTTTGAGTTCTGAAAGTTACAGTATGTTTCCATAATGAATGACTCTATTATCTCTAAGGATCAAGGACAGTTTGATTCCTCATGATATGCGTCCGATGTATCTACACATATGAAGTCATGTGCTTTCTTGAAGCCAAACGCAGTGAGGAATCAAACAATGTGGCCCCTGATAAGAGCTCGGGACCCGAGGCCCGGCACGCGGTCGGGCAGGTATAAGCGTGTGCTCATAACATCCCGTGACTTCCACGCTTGGTCACGTCTGTCCGCACCCCTCACTCTCCCATATCTCTCAATCTGCACATTTTCTTACACTTTAATTACACGGCCGTATATTGCCCTGGGCCGTATGGATGGGCGATACTGAGAGCAGATAAGATGGAGGAGCTTCTGTCACCAACCAAACATATTAGAACGGCACCAAAGCCAATTATCTCCATTCTGAACTACAATTAAGCATCCGACTCCGGCAGCTTCGCTTTTAAGGCCAGAGGGCATTTTTAATAAAAATGTATGACTTCCCCTGGTTTGTTTTACTAGCCATGAGAACGAGAGACAGGAAGAAAAGACTTGCTTCTGATTAATAGGTCAAGAGCTTTGCATCAAGTATGCATTCAATTGATCAGAAGTGAGAGTAAAGACATTTATAATGTTACAAAAGAAAAGCAGCATACTAGAATGATTTCTGAAGATCATGTGACACTGAAGACTGGAGTAATGATGCTGAAAATACAGCTGCGCATCACAGAAATACATTACAGTTTACTATACATTTACATATAAATCAGCTATTTGAAATTGTAATAATTTTTCACAAGCAGCCTTGGTGAGCAGAAGAGACTTCTTTCAAAAACATTTAAAAATCTTTCAACCCCAATCTTTTGAACAGTACTGTAGTTTATCAAATGCAGTTCTCATGCATAAGACACTCACTTGTCTTACAGAAATAGTTCTAAAAATGAAAATTCCGTCATCATTTATTCACATGATTTTTTCCCCCAAAGCAGTAAAAATCCTTACTGCCAATTTTCTACCTTGGCATTGCTCTCAAATCTCAATCATGTGCTTTTGCAAACTTGTCGCAATTGTGACGAGTTACATGATACATGAAAACCAATGGTGTTTGGCCTCAATGACATCTAAAGAGATATTTTAATGTTAATCCTGTAAAGCCTGACATATGACACAATTATTTGAAGAAAAAAAAATCAGAAAAAAGTTCCATTCAAATTTTATCCATCAGGCTTTTACGGCTCATATAGTCTGATATAGTGAGAATATGGAGGAAAAAACAGCTCAATTTTATTCAGAGACTCAAAAATATACAATTTGGTGCAAATGCTGATATTTATATGATGAAATTCTATAACTGTATAGCAGATACTGACATAAAGTGATCTAAATATCAGCGGTCACTCTATATCTCCAGTAATCTGTCTCAGTAAGATGAGATTGAAATGCTCCAAACATATAATGCAGTGATTGAGAGCTGAAGAAATAAAGGCTCCTCAGAAGATGTGAGATGTTCTGGAGGCTTGTGAAGATCATTCCTCCGCTGAGGAACAGTGAAAGTAAAGCTTCTGGAAACAAACGCTCCTCAAAAGATCCTGAGGATCAGACTTGAGACTCTCAAACATGATTGATGGAGAATCAA